GATGAGAGCACAAAATGGAAAATGTCAAAGACCTGCTATTTCAAATACAGTGCAGTCAGCACTGTTGAAAGAAACAACACAAGATAGTGGGGTGTACATGGAACTCGACCCACTGGAGAATGAACACTTCTCATTTTGGTTCATCAGTTCACTTGTGGTTTGTCACAACTTACTGTTTGCAATGTTTGTTTACAATATTAACTTTAGAGCTCCACATTGGGTCTTGATGTCAAAAAATTATTGGAAATTATTTGAACAAGAATATGGAGTTGCCATCATAATGGATTTGAAGGGACATTGTTAATCACAAAACAAAAAGCAGAAGTAATATCAGTAAGTGTGGAACTAGCTGAAACAAGTCAAGAAGAAACTTCAGCTATGAAGTTATAACCACCATGTAAAAGAAGCAGTGAGGGACAAAAAGGTATCTTTTAAGAAGTGGAAGTCCAATCCTAGTGAGATAAATAGAAAGGAACATAAACACTGTCAAATCAAGTGTAAACATGTAATAAGAAAAGCAAAAAAAGATTTTGAGGAACAGCTAGCCAAAAACTCAAAAAGAAATAACAAAATGTTCTTTAAGTACATTAGAAGCAGGAAGCCTGCTAAAAAACCTGTGGGTCCCCTAGATGATCAAGCTATAAAAGGAGCAATCAAGGACGATAAAGCCATTGCGGAGAAACTAAATGATTTCTTTGCTTCAATCTTCACGGCTGAGGATGTTGGGGAGATTCCTGAATCTGCACCGTCCTTTGTGGGTGATGAATCTGAGGAACTGTCCCGGATTGAAGTGTCATTTATCTGTGGTTTGTAACCTATCCTTTAAATCAGCTTCCGTACCCAATGACTGGAAGGTAGCCAACGTGACACCAATATTTAAAAGGGGCTCTAGAGGCGATCCTGGCAATTACAGACCGGTAAGTCTAACTTCAGTACCGGGCAAATTAGTCGAAACAATAGTAAAGAATAAAATTGTGAAGCATGTAGAAGAACATAATTTGTTGGACAAAAGTCAACATGGTTTCTGTAAAGGGAAATCCTGTCTTACTAATCTATTAGAGTTCTTTGAAGGGGTTAACAAACATGCGGACAAGGGGGATCCAGTAGATATAGTATACTTGGATTTTCAGAAAGCCTTTGACAAGGTCCCTCACCAAAGGCTCTTGTGTAAATTACATGGCCATGGGATAAGAGGGAAGGTCCTTTCTTGGATTGAGAACTGGTTAAAAGACAGGAAACAAAGGGTAGGAATAAATGGTAAATTTTCAGATTGGAGAGGGGTAACTAGTGGTGTACCCCAAGGGTCAGTCCTGGGACCAATCCTTTTCAACTTATTCATAAATGATCTGGAGAAAGGGGTAAGCAGTGAGGTAGTAAAGTTTGCAGATGATACCAAACTGTTTAGGATAGTCAAGACAGAAGCAGACTGTGAGGGACTCCAAGAAGATCTCACCAAACTGAGTGATTGGGCAACAAAATGGCAAATGAAATTTAATGTGGATAAGTGTAAAGTAATGCACATCGGGAAAAATAACCCCAACTATACGTACAGTATGATGGGGGCTAATTTGGCTACGACAAATCAGGAAAGAGATCTTGGAGTTATCGTGGACAGTTCTCTGAAAACTTCCACACAGTGTGCAGCGGCGGTCAAAAAGGCAAATAGGATGCTAGGAATTATTAGGAAAGGGATAGAAAATAAGACCCAGAATATCTTACTGCCCCTGTATAAAACTATGGTACGCCCACATCTTGAATACTGTGTACAGATGTGGTCTCCTCACCTCAAAAAAGATATTTTGGCCTTGGAAAGGGTTCAGAAAAGGGCAACTAAAATGATTAGGGGTTTGGAACGGGTCCCATATGAGGAGAGGCTAAAGAGACTGGGACTTTTCAGTTTAGAAAAGAGGAGACTGAGGGGGGATATGATAGAGGTCTATAAAATCATGAGTGGTGTGGAGAGGGCTGATAAAGAAAAGTTATTTATTAGTTCCCATAATAGAAGAACTAGAGGACGCCAAATGAAATTAATGGGTAGCAGGTTTAAAACTAATAAAAGGAAGTTCTTCACACAGCGTGTTGTCAACCTGTGGAACTCCTTGCCAGAGGAGGCTGTGAAGGCTAGGACTATAATAGAGTTTAAAGAGAAGCTGGATAAATTCATGGAGGTTAGGTCCATAAAAGGCTATTAGCCAGGGGATAAAATGGTGTCCTTGGCCTCTGTTTGTCAGAGGCTGGAGAGGGATGTCAGGAGACAAATCGCTTGATCATTGTCTTCGGTCCACCCTCTCTGGGGCACCTGGTGCTGGCCACTGTCGGTAGACAGGATACTGGGCTACATGGACCTTTGGTCTGACCCAGTACGGCCGTTCTTATGTTCTTATGTAAGCAGAGGAAAAAATCATTGGAGATGCAGACAAGATTTAAATTTGACACTTTCAATATTGCTGTAAATTCTGCTCTCGTGAAACTGGCAAAACATTTTTAATTATTGCGAGAGCACATGAATATGTTTGGATTCCAGTGTGATGTGAATAGCATTGGAAACTCTTTCTCCTACAAGTGAATTGAAAAAAATTGTGTAGTCACCTGGGATCAGCTTTGATGAGTTCTTTGGCAGTATTTTGGATGTGGATGGGTACGACCTGGTACATGAACTCCATAGTCTTTCTGGTGTCTTGCCAAACCCTCTGGATGTGCTTAAGACACTTGAGTTCATTTTCAGAAGTGGTTTTCCCATTGTGTAACCAAACGTGTACTGCTCTATGTGTGTTTCTTAAAGTGTCATTCTCTGTGGGGCTTTCAGGAAGAAGTTTCTCAAAAGTAACTTATTTGGGGTCCATCCTGTCTCAGGAACATTTGGTAACATTTACAAGACAATGGAATTCAAGATTGCAATAGATGAATTTGTCAGTAGAGTATTCAGTTACTGGTACTTGGCATAAACACCTTAAAAAACCCCTTCCTCCCCCCAGTAGCTATCCACTGACAAGAGTAAAACACAACATGCTGTTTACTTATTTGTTGAGATGTGAAGGTATTTGCAGCCAGTTACTAGTTGTGGATTTATGTATGTAGTTTGCATACTTGGATTACTTTGGTTTATGGAATATTATTAATGGAAAGGGATGACTTATGTCCTCTCACAGGGGGCCTCAGTCTCTTTCTGTGGCACTGCTGGGAGAGCCAGCCTTCAGTGGTGGGATGCTCCGGATGCAAAACTGATCCAATTCCTGATCTCTTTGGAATTGTCCTTGCTTGACAGTTTTGTCATGATCAGATACATTTGTGAAGAGTTGAGTCAGCTCATTCAGTGATGACCATGGCTGACTTGCCCTTGTAGACTATTACAATTAATGATGGGAAAGTACCTGCCTGGTCAGAGGGTACAAAGAGAAGGCACTGTAGAAATGAAAACTCCAACCATCTGATCTTTACTGCTGTGTATACACTCCTCACTGCACCCATTACTGAAGTGCCATCATCTTGCTAGTAGTGGGCAGCAGTCAAGTGAACTTACATTTAGCACAATGCTTAGAAACAAAAGAGAAGCATTCTCTTTTTCAGGGCACTGAGGCCATCTCTTTGTTCATGAGAAAAGTGCCATGAAACCTCCTACGTATGAAGTGGAGAGGGCAAGACCTTGTTCACAAGAATTCTAACCTATAAATTCCAGTTCATTGTCTTGGAAAGTTGAAGGGCTGCATCAACCCTGCTGGGGTTTCAAACACACCATTTAAAGGAACCTGATTGTCACTGCCCTGATGCTTTCTGGGTGCTATGGGACCATTGTTGCTTTTTAGTTACAGACTGACACGGCTACCCCTCTGAGACTGGCCTGATGGATAAACAGCCAGAACAACCCCTCTGGCTAAAATGCCTCAATGCCAGAAATTCAGGCAGTATTGACCTACAAAATAAATAAGCTTTTGAATTCACAAAATAACCTAGTGGCATGACTGAAGCTAAAGGGACTAATAAGGCACCATAATTGCATCATGCATGTTTGTGAGAGGACAGTTTGGAGATGGCTCCAGGTGAATTTGAGGACAGTTTATATCTTGTACAGACTGTTTGCTAAAATGGCAGTGCTTATGTAGTTGCATGGACTGAATTTTTTCATCAGAGAATGAAACGTAGGATTTTTTCATAGTCGCTTAGGGGAGCTGAATGCCCAATTCTCATTAATTGTACTCTGCCATAAGTTCCCCTCTTAAGATTTTATTCATGCATTTTTGATTTGTTGTGCAAAATTGCCCCATGAAAGTCCAATGTGAAAATCAGTCCCTTGTCTGTACAAAGTGTCCATTCAAATTAAGGAGGCAGGGGGAGTCTACCTCTTAAGAATGCGTGTAAGGGATAACAGAACTTGTGCTATGAAATTGAATTGAATTCACTCTCCAAAAAAGATACAAACAGGAGTAATCTTTATATGATTGGATTTGGAGACTTACATATGCGTAAGCATGACGCTCTATGCAGGATGTAAAATTAAATTACTGGTTTTGAAGATTTATCCAACACTCTTTTCTGAAAAGACTATTCTGTATAATAGTGTATTGAACAAATTTGTGAATAGCTTTGGTCAAATATACTATTTGTCCAGGGCCCAGCTCACTTCAGTGAGTGTTCTGCTTGAGGAAAGACTGAGCAAAGATTTCATGAGTAAACTTACGTCAGCTGCCTTTTTAAAGCAGCCAATCTGTGTAATCTGAGTAGAAAGGAGGATGAAGCAGCAAGAAAATGTACTGTTAGCTTTATAATACCACTACTGTATATTTTCCTCATCTAGCCTTCAATACTAATGAGAGCCAGTAGCCTCTTTCCCCCCCCCCCCCTCTCTCCCTC